GGCATGAAGGGCATATCTATGCTGTTGGTGGAGAGGGGCATGCCCGGCCTCAAGACCACCAGAATGGACTGCCAAGGTGTGCTATCTAGTGGCACTACCTTCGTTGAACTCGATGATGTGAAAGTCCCGGTGGAGAATCTCATCGGCAAGGAGAATGATGGCTTTAAGGTTATCATGTATAACTTCAACCATGAGCGCTGGGGACTTATCATTCAAGCGGTGCGGTTTTCGAGAATTCTCTATGAGCTTTCATTCAAGTATGCTCAGAAGAGAAAGACTTTTGGCAAGACCCTCATGGAGCACCCGGTCATTCGATGGAAGTTGGCAGAGATGTCCAGACAGATCGAAGGGACGAGCCACTGGCTTGAAAGCGTCACTCATCAGATGTCGACTACGCCTTGGGTGGAGAGCATGGATGCGTTGGGGGGCACTATAGCTCTGATGAAGGCCCACAGCACTAAGGTGAGGGGAAGGTCCTTGCGCCCTTTTGGATAGGTTCTTTCATCAGGTGTTTGAGTACTGTGCTCGTGAGGCGGCTCAGATCTTCGGTGGTAATGCCTATACGAGGAGTGGGCTTGGTGAGGTTGTGGAACGACTGTATCGGGATGTGCGTGGCTTGGCCATTCCTGGGGGTTCGGAGGAGATCTTGCTGGACCTCGGTATAAGGCAGGCTGATAGACAGTATAAGAAGGCTACGAGCAGGCTATGATAAGCTGCTGGTCTATTCAGTGGTGACTTTGTGTGATTTTTTTATTATTTTATTGCCATCATCGTGTTGGGTTGCCATAGTCAGAATGTGATGAAGTATAATGGGAGGGTGACTGGATGCGGTATAGGCTTTCTATACATCAATGGTGAAAGAATTAGGTCGAAATTCGTCAAAATGAAGAAAAAAAGTGCCCGCCCAGTCCGCGCGTTTCTAGGTGGCGCGTACTGTACATAGATTGAGGACCTCAGCGTGAGGTGGTTGTCTTGACTCACACATGCCAGCCTGCAATCTCCGGCGTCTGAGGGTCACCGATCAGTTCGGAGCGGTAGGATGGGGTGTAGTGATGAGGGATCAACCCAAGGAGAGCAGCAATGTTGAGGGGTCGTCTTATCGCATTGGAGTGGTCAAGTACTTCACTGTGAAATGGAGGAGGTAATACTGCTCGAGCGGCTCCCAGTCTTCACGGAATCTGCCTTGGTAGTCTATGGAGCTCCGCGGTTTTGCTCAGTGTGCGACGACCACTGGTCGTGTAGGAGGTCGTTTTAGGTACTACATTCAATTCATCGATGCGAGTGCTCCCGAGCTGGAGGCTCTACGACCATTGAAGCTCCCCTCGTTGCGGGACGCCAAGGAGCTGGCGGAGTCACTGGCCATCTCACTCACTCATGGGGATATTCAGCTGTCGAGGAGCGCTACTGACAGGCATTGGCTGGACCCGGAGGATATGCAAATCTATGTAGTGCGGAAACTTTGGTACACTGCATGTGTTGGTGACAATGTGAAAATTCTGAGGAAGTTTTGGAGGCTTCTTGCTGGTTTCTGTACACTCCTATTCGAATTCGTATGTAAACTTGTGTAATTAGTGAGGAAACTTCTGAGCTCATCTGAGGAAAGTGAACATATATTGCGACACTGACATCCAGTGTGAGGAGTATTGTTGGTGATGATCCTGGAGTGCTCGAAACCACACGAAACAGGGAATATATACGGATCGACACTGTCCAAGGTATCTTTCTCACCTTGGACAGGTACTATCAGATTTGAAGGTGTGGGAGCGTCCCGATGAGCTGCATCAACGGAAGCCTCCAACCTCGCCTAACGAAAAGGAGAAGAGTTGGTATGCTTGTAGCATATGTGGGTATCAAGTGCCGAAAGGGAGTATACGATGGGCCCGAGATGCATGCTGCCAGGGGAGCGGGAACCCGAACCTTTCAGAGCTCAAGGGGGTAGTAAGCTTCAGAAATGAATAATTTGTCACTCGTTTGGCTACTGCGATGCATACCACACCCTCGCCCTAACCTCAGTCCCCACGGTCTTGTCCGACCCCAGAAGAAGACGACGACCGTCAGCAAGCCTTACGGAGATTCCACAGCGCTCTGGGTACTGGTGACACGCTCATGAAGGACTCCGATGGAGACTACTTGCCCATGGGAGGATCGGATTCGACTAGAATCGGGGAACAGATCAAAACTGAACCGGAGGAGCAAGCGGACAGCAAAGACGAGGAGTCCGTCCAGCCACTGCAGTGCTGTAATTGCCGAAGTGTCTTTCATGGCGACTGTCTACTGCCGCATGAGAAGCTCCTCCCACCCGACGGGATGGACGAAGGGCTGCAGTTTAGGAATCTAGACATGTGAAGCGGGGCATCCCAATGGTCAGAGGAGGGTGTTGGTCAGGTATCTGCAAGGAGTGGCCACAGCAGTGCCTGAACTACTGCCAAAGGGTTGCCATGACCTGCACGCCTTTTCCAAGTAGAGGGTCTTATCCTAGGCGTTCAAATGAGTTGAGGAAGGAGTGGTATGGCTCTATGGTGATCAGACCTAAACTAGAGAGGCCAGTAGCCGAACCATCATCCTGCTCACAACGTCGGTCTCGCCAAAACCAGGATTTCCTCTGTCCAGACTGCAGGCTCTGTCAGTAAGCGTATTGCTTTAGTTGTGGCCCTCACTGTGGGGACTAGATACTGCTGCGAGCCCCTTGGGACATACCCGACCAACTGGGACAAACTGTCCTTGGTTAAGCTCTTCGGCTGTCTGGAAGTAGGCGAGGGCAGTGAATCGGTGTATGCCCTCACTTATCAGTTGGCGGTCGTTTGCCATGGGTGTAACATGAGCGCTCACGGGACATGCTGCTTCCCTATAGTAGCGCCTAGTCTCTTGCCGGGCACCACGTGGAGGTGTGAGGACTGTCGACAATGTGAGCAGTTCAGTGACTTCGCAGGCATCCTCGGGCTGAACCAGAGGGGATGTCCATCCCAAGGTCCAGCGAGTCCCTGTATTCGTATGCTTCTCACGGTTGACTCGCTGACTTGTATGCCCATATAGCTGAACGCTGGCTGATTCTCATAGGGACATCTTTGTTGGCATCTCTGCTACTATTGTGTCGAGCTGAAAGGAATCTCGGAAATATCGGATTCCTTCGATAGGCATCAAGGACTTGTGTGACAGGTAACAGCTGCGGTCGACGGACCTACTGGGAACCCACAGCCCAGGAGCCAACTTCCAACGGCACGAATCTTTGGAGCATCACTTTTGACACATGTCGGGCCTGCTGGGCAGGCTTCGACGCCAACGAGTGGGTGCTGGCATCATCAGTACCATCTTCCACCCAAGAGCTGTAGATACTGTCCCGTGTGTCTTCGTGCATGGTCCACTGTATGGTGTGACGATATGGTGCAGTGTGACGGCTGTGAGTTCTGGGTACATGCCAAATGTGATAACTTCACTTGCAAAGAGCAGTTCACAGAGCTCACTGACAAGGACGTGAAGTAACCCCAACAGGAGGCCATGGGCCCTTCGAATGGCCCTCTAGATACTTCTGTCCCATCTGCCGAGATAGCACTTCAAAATCCAAGTATATAAGAGCACTAGATCTACTTAAAGTAAGCAGTCGAGGAACGTGCAATTCTACTTGATGGCTGTCGCCATTTGACAGGCTCTCGATAAATCACATCTGTTCAGCGAGCCCGTGAATGCAGCCTTCGCTCCGCTGTATTTGAGGGTGGTGAAGAAGCCTATGAATCTCCGTAAGATGAGGCAGAAAGCGGAGGCCCACATGTGCGGTCGGAAATCTATGGTATCGACTGATGGAGGTTGGCAGGTATCCGTCAGTCCAGGACTTCGTAGATGATTTCGATCAAATCATCGCTAATGCTAAGCTCTTTAACATGCCTAACACGCAGACCTACAAGATTGCCGAGCAATTCGAAAAGAACGGTAAACTGGTCTTGGAGCGGTATCTCTTGAAAGTAGCGGGAGCAGCTGGGGTGGCCAAGATCGTCAATGAATCAGTAAGCCTCGAGGGGCCTCTTCGTGGACCGTAGGGGTATGTCAACTTCCCCAGAGGGTATAGAGTAATGTGAAGAAATATGCACATGGTCAACTACGTGTGGTGGTGAGGAAATTTTGGGAATTTATGTGTAGGTTGGTTTCTGTACACTTTTTTGTGAAGTCATATGTAAGAGTTCAGCTGAGGAGATAAAACATATATTCCAACACTGGTACAGACTCTCATTGGAGGCCGACATTGGAACAATAGGCCTCTGATATGGGGAGGAGTATTCGGCGTCAGCCGCTCCAGTGTCGTCTTTGCCTCAGCCGTCCTCGCCTGCACTGCCCATCGACGTTGCATCGATTGAGGGCTCTGACAAATCGGCCAGGACTCGGCGGTCCACAAGGATCTCCACCAAGCCTGGGACTGATGGACCGTCTCCGTAGGTCTCCACTCTTCGTCAGCACGCATGCGTTGTCATGCTAGTTACAAGCAGCGGCTGAAGAAATCTAGGAAGGCTCCATCTAGTTCGACTAGACTACTCTTGTCGCCCTCAATATCTCCAGCCTCCCTCATCATCACAGACCCAAGAATACTAGACCTGATCGCTCTGGTGCCTCTGGTGACACGTCCGATCGTTGCATCAGTGCAATCGGCTCATCTTAGTTGTCTCCGTCCGTCCCCCCGTCCCCCCTGGCATACCCCTGTGGAGCCCTCGTGGCGCCCAATTTCATAGTTCCCTGTACAGGTGAGTGCCTGAGCGGTCGTTCCTGGTCCTGCTTGGTCCGGCTTGATCAGACATAACAGTATTCACTCGGCCACGGCAGGTTACCTATGGGAAAGCCTCTGTCCTCTCCCCCCAAGTACCTACTCACGGGTGATCGATTTTTGTGATATGATCTTCAAAACGGAGAGAGGAATCCGAAACGGCTATGCGATAGAAAATTTTCCGTAGACTCGGAATCCTTGATATTTTTTAATCAATGATAGTTTAAAATTCGATTCCGGGTTTAGAGTATACTCCCCTCCACATTGTTGATATGTTCATACTGCTCAGGATCCCCTACTTGTTCACGGTCGTTGGCTCCTCTTTGAATGCTGTGCTATCTGTGGGTCTTTCGGGGACGGCTGTAGCATGATCGAATGCTGTTGTTGTTCTGACGCCCTTCACTACTACTGTGCTGGCCTCATCAGTGAGTCTCTGCTCGGGAAGGGTCTTTGGCAGTTCAGAGGGTGGCAGGTCTACCAGACAAGAAAAGCTATCACTGTCCTGGGTGTAACCGTTGTCCGTATTGTGCCCAAATTTGCAGCAAGTCTCTGAGCAATGATCCTACTGAGCTCGCGGCCCCCAAGTAGGCCCAGGTTGGCAACACAGCAGAGATGCCTTGTCTCAGGATGATGTGTGTGAAGTGCGGTATCATATGGCACAGCAAATGCCGAGATCGCTGGATCAAGAAGACAGCCTCGTCTGATAAGCTCGGTGACTGGGTGAGCTCCTCCTACCACACTTTTCTCGAATCGACTCCAACACCGCTCAGCTCTGGGATGACAAATTCATCATGTGCGACCAGTGTGCTGCTGAGCAATACAAAGTGTCCTTCAACGCCTCCCATCGGTGCCTAGCGTGCAACGGTACCATCATCGACGGAACGGCTTCAAAGAAGACCTGCAGCTCTAAAATGTGAGTTGTGATGCACGAGGTCGAGCAGTAGAGGTTCTTGTCTGGCTCTGTTTCAGCTTGTGCCTTATATGTGGTGGAAGGTGGCACAGTAAATGCATCCCCGAGTTCCGAGATCTCACTATGATATCGATACCAGACTATATCTGCGCCCAGTGCCTGGCCGATACGCCGATGGATGAGCTGCCTCGGAGGCGCACCAGCAACGACCAGACCCCGACTACCACTGCCTCGGATACTGAAATCGCCGTAGATATATGGAAGGGACTCCTCGTCATCCTTGATTCGACAGCGATGATCTACGGCTTAATTATTATGTCGTTTCTTAGAAGAGCCTGTCGTCGGAGCTGATAAGTATTCGGAATCGTCACGCTGCATGTGCAGAGCGCTCACGGATGCTCGATGCCTTGGCTGGTCGCCACAACAGTGGACTGTTGAGGAAGCTCCCGAAGCACTTGGAGCCTGCTCTGCAGCAGACTATGGCGTTGGCTGGTGGGCCCACACTTCTCTATGAGGAAAGTAACGGTCGCTGTAGGCGCCACTTCTGGAGGAAACGCTGGCACCACGCCGAGCGTCATCGGTGAGGATTGTGAGGACTGGCTTGTGCGGACCATGGGACAAGACGTCTTCATGCCAAGAAGGGCCACGAAGGTCTCCGGAAAGGTCAGTTCCTGTCTGGGGAAGTCCCCTAAGGGTCCTTCGTTCAGACCTCGCCAACAGTGTCCACTCCCCAAGATGCGCTGATAGCACAACGGCTTCTGGCTGCTAGAGACATTCTGCAGTGGATCGACACCCAAGACTCCTCGACTGACCACACTGGGCACGACTCGAGTCCTTCTCCAGTGAGGGCCGAGACGGTGATGGAGGAACCCCTAGTAGGGTATAGCCAAGTCAGTCGGCAGTCCTGGGATGCTTGGGCGTGTCAGGTATTGGTGCAGCGGTCGTGGTGGCTCCAGCAGGGAAGCGATCCTGCTGTGCTCTTGCTGAAGATCATTCATAAGATGCTTACTTCAGTGGACAAGGGATACATTGGAGCCTTCGTAAGGACGCTAGAATCAGCTTGGTGCCCTCAGCTACTGCTTACAGAGTCCAGCGCGGTACCCAGTCATTGGAACGGCGGTATCGAAAGCCAGTGTGCCCATACCCGTCTGGGAGTGAGAGCGGTCCGGCATAACTAGGGTTGGGAGGTGTGCTTTCAGTGAACGGCGATGTTCTCTTTGTGGAAGTCGCTCCGACACGCTTTCTATGGGTCGGCTTATCCCGTGGTTGGACGGTCAGTGGGTGCATGCCCTCTGTGCACAGTTCACCATCAAGGGGCTCACGGTCACCTTCCCAGGGGTGAGTTAACGTTATTAATAGCAAACGACAACGTGCGTGTTAGCTCCTGCCCACGGACTTCTCGGCTTCCCCGCTGGAGCACCCTCGAAGGGAGCCTGATCCGGGGGCCACCTCGGCCCATGCACTACCACAATATGCTAGACTGAGCAGGTGAGCATGCCTGCTTTGACTGGCACTCAGCTCGATCACTGTCCCTGCGGGCTCAAGGTACGTGTCCAGCCGCGTGGACGTCGT